TCCCTTTCTTCCATAGGCACCAACTATAAATCCATACCCACCCCCCCTCTTTAGCCTTCGACCTTCAGAAGCAGTGGACAGGGACTGTGGAGTGACATCAAGAATGGGAGGTTTTCTGGGAAGACTTGTATGAACTGATGCAAAGTGAAGTGAGCAGAATCAGAAGAGGGTACACAGTAACAGCAACATTGTAACTATGATGTGAGTTGTAACATTGTAACAACATCGTAACTTCTGATCTAGACAACTCCTAAGGACCCTGATGAAAAGTGCTCTCCCCTCCAGAGTCTGGATGCAGATCGAAGCAGACTTTTTAAAAATTTTCTTTATTTTTCTTGGGGGGGTTTTGGTCTGTGTTCTCTTTCACAATATGCTAATATGAAAATGTTTTGCATGACTGCATATATATAAGCTATACCAAACTGCAGAGACAGAGGGAAAGAATTTGGAACTCAACATTTTAAAAAATGAATGTTTAAAAAAACAACTTTTTATATGTAATTGGGAAAAGTTTAAAAAAAAAAAAGAACAATGGGTTTTGACTCCTAGGACCTGGTTTCGGATCTTGGCACTGCTGTTTCTCATCTGTGTAACCAGTGCTGAGTCCCTCCGGCCTCAGCCTCCTCATCTACAAAGTGAGGGCTGGGATTCATCATCGCCAATGTCCCTTCTGGCACCAAACCCAGGAGGCCAATGGCTTCAGGGGCAGGGGCCCACGAGTGCTGCTGTGGGACAGCTCCCATGGCCAGCAAGCTGTTCCTCACCCAGACCAGAGCCCATCTGAGTGCTCCTTGTACTCCCTGCTGAGGCTGAGCAGAGGGGAACGGGCTTGCAGAGAACCTCAAATTTGTTACACCCCCCCCCAACTCTCTTGGGCATTTAAAAACCCAACAGCCCTGGCTGCCTTTCCCTGAGGCACTTGAACCCGGCCAAGAATGTGCCCTGCTTTAGATACTGGGAGAACCACACACCGAATATAGAGGCAGTTCACAGGGTGACAGCTTGGTGATCTCAGCAGCCATGATGTTCAGCACACTCTGTCCCCAACCAGACAGGAATAGTGCCCAGATAACGCCACCGGCACGCCTGCCTCCTGCCTGCTCTAGCTGGAGGAGGGATGGTCTACCTGCCCATCATACACAAAGAGGGGTGAGATACTGAATGACCTACCCTGCTCTGAGGCCCCTCCCAGCCCTGACATCCCCTGTTCTGAGGCCCTTCCCAGCTCTGACATAGAGGGACTCAGCTCCTCCCAGGGAAAACCCTGGGGAGCCCAAGCAGGAGGTCAGTCCAGGCACTGGGCTGATGCCACTGGCTGGGAATGTTGGGGAGGGTAACAATGACCTTCAGAGCCACTGTCCCAGTAGGGCTTGAGGTGCGGAGGTGCTTTCCCGAGTCCAACACTCTTACTCTCTAGGGAGCCCAGGGCGTTTACTATGCAGGGGAGGGATGTGGTCAGCCCTGGGGTTTAGGAATTTAGGAACTTGACAGATGTTGGGAGGATGGATTGGAAGGCAAACTCAGGCCAGACAGACCAATCAGGAAGTCAGTGAGGTGTAAGGGTCAGCGCCCACCAGCCTCCCTCCCAGGGGGTGGACCCACAACTATGACGTGGGGGAGGCAGGGTTCACTCATTTAATGATGGGGAAACAGAAGGATGTACCAAGGAGATTCAGCCAAACGCCAAACCCAGCACGAGGACAGTGTGATGGGGGAGGAGGTGGTCAACAGGCTTGGGACAGCAGGTGTGTGACCCTGACAAGCCCCTGCGTCAATGGGGGCTTGGCTCTCTCCTCTGTCACACAAGGAGGTCAGCATAGGTGCCTTCCAAGGTTAGACACCACTCTGAAAAGTTCTCTGGCTCTATGAAATTAGCCAGAAATCCCACCCTGAGCCTCTCCCCTGCAGCCTCACTCTAGGGCCACCAGAGCCCACGTCCTGGCACGTGATGCCAAACTAGCACGTCTGGGGAGGACTGTGGCTCTGTCCCTTTGTGAGCAGCCCGGCCAAGGCCAGGCTGAGGGAAGAACCTGATTTAGGCTGTGCTGGACAGTACAAGGAGACCCCCTCCTGATGCCATCCCAGGCCAAGAGCAGGGGGGTTTCAGGACAAACATGGTGCTTGCAAGCAGGACAAGCGGACAGCCCCCTCACCCTGGGAGGGGACTACGGGCCTGATGACTTCACTGGAATATTCCTGAGCCCCTGTCACCAGCTTAGGGGACCATTTGTACTCTTTAATATTTAATAAGCTAGGAAAAACCTTCTCAGGCCTGTAGGCCACCATCTCTTCTCCCAGAAAGATGATGAGCTAATCTGCTTCCTGGAGAAGGGGTGGGGGAGATGACTGAAAAGAACATTAAGATGCAGAGGGGCCTGAGAGCAAAGAATATGAGGAATGGAAGGAGAGACCTTAGAACAGGGAATGTGTGTGTGGGCAGGCCTTAGAACAGGGAATGGGGTGGCCTTAGAACACGGAAAGTCAGAACTGGGCGGGTCCTGAGAGCAGAGTATCAGGAACAGAAGGAGAGACCTTAGAACAGGGAATGTGTGTCTGGGGGGGGTCCTTAGAACAGGGAAGGTCAGAGCTGGGAGGGGCCTGAGAGCCCGCTGCTCTGGGGACTGTGTTTATTAAACAGGGCATTAATCCTGGAGCACCTGTCTAAAGAGCCCCTGCTCCCAGCCACGGCCACTTTTCTGTATGCGAGGGCTGCTTAGCTGTAGGGAAACTGAGTCACACATCCCTGAAACGTCTGCTCAGCTCTTCTCCTCGTGTGTTGCCCTCACACCCTCCCCACTAGAGCCCCCAGATGATGATGGAGGAGGGGGGGAGCCGTGAACTCATACCCCTGTGGATGATGACCTCCAGGGCTGGGCCCAGAAACACCTTCTATCTTCTAAGAGGGTTGGGGTCCGAATCCTCCTCTCTTGTGTACCACCTGGGTGACACTGGTCCAGTTCCTTTACCTCTCTGGGAGTCAGTCCCCTCACCTGTAAAATGGGGGGCTTGGACCCAAGGCCTCTAAGTTTCCTCCCAGCTCCAGACAGAGGACCCTGCGATCCTACTATGTGCCAGTTCTAGGTGCTAGACAGGGACAAAAACAAAGAGGCGTGTATGCTCTGCCGGGAGAATATGCCTGGGGACCAGGCCCTGGGACATCCTGTGTAGGGGCAGGGGGGGACCGGGGCTGTCCTTGGGGCAGACTAGCTCAGGGCAGAGCTACCAGTCACTGAGAGGGCCACTGACACAGTGCCAGGAAGGAGCGCCTAAAATCATCCGGAATAACAATGACAATAAGTTTCTAGAACATGTTAAGGTTTGCAAAGCATCTTACACATATTAGCTCAGAGGTGGGGGCTGTTATTATCCCCATTTTACAGGTGAGGAAACTGAGGCAGACAGGTTCGGTGACCCTTGCCCAGCACTGTGGAGATGGCAGGACTCAGCTCCTCCTTCCTCTGGGCCCATCCCCTGAGGGTTGGGGTTCGAATCCTCCTCTGTTGTGCACCCATCTCCTGAGCCACCCTCTGAAGACAGACAGGTGGCATGGTCGCACCCCCCTGGGCCTGGGAGCCCAGGGCCCTGGCTCTGCCCCAGCTCTGTCCTAAGCTGGCCGAATCACTTCCTTCTCTGGGCCCCAGTTCAGTTATCTGTAAAGTGAACTTTCCTCCTCCTCTGTCACACCTCACTTCTGAAGGGTGGGGGCACTGAGTAGTCTGATCACTGTGGCCCAGAGACACCTGCTCCAGCCGGCTTGGCCTGGGCCCCTCCCTTCTGCTTACACTCAGAAGCAGCTTGGGCCAGGCCCTATAGGGGACCAGGCTCTCAAAGTTAGGGGTGACTTGGTCTGAATGGGAGAGACGTGACCATCCCCACTGCAGGCCGGCCTACACACCCATGGGACTGCTTTACTGCCAGGGGCGGTCCCCATAACGTACTGTCCGGCCACCTGGAAGGACACACCTGGGTCTAAAAGGCCCTGTGGGCCCTCACTCTGGGTCATCAGGAGAGATTCCTTCCAGCCTACCTGATAAACTGATGCATTCTGCTCAGATCTTTGTCTCAGAATTTCTATCATGACACCCATCCTTTACAATATCACGTAACATGCCCCTGTTAATAAATGATACTGTATGCAGATAACTGCCTCAGTTTACCCTTGTTAGATTCCATTCACTACAATCTCCAAAGTCCATCCCCCCAACTCTGCTCTCTGTTGGACAGCTCTGCTGTGTGAGCTCCCCATTCTAGAGCTACGCAAGCAGGGCGCAGGGATCTTATGGAGATGACTTATTTCTGGAAGCAGTTATCCAGATGACTTGGAGGGTCCCTGGTGATGGGAACCTTTGAGTCTACAGTTCCATCACTGCGTTGTCAGTGGGAGCAGACCTCCGCCTTTGTGCCTAGTCCGGGCATTTCTGAGGCATTCTGACAGGTCAAGCAGTGGGCTCAGCCACTCAGGGAGGCCTGAGGCCTGGCAGGCCCTCCCCTGGGGATGGCTTAGCCCACAGAGGCCAGAGTGACTCACAGTCGACTCAGGCTACCCCTTAGGGCCCGGCTTTGCTCACCCCTTTGGGGAAGGAAGGCCAGCACCCCAGAATCCCAGAGTCCCAGCCCCTGAAGGGAGGCCCCTGCCTGACGCCAGAAGCCGCTGAAGAATGCCACCCCCCAGGTTCTGAAGCTGCTCCTGTCTGGATGTAGGACTCCAGCCAGTCTCAGCCAGTGCACAGACCTCTACAGACACCTGCCAGCCTCCGCTGTCATCTTTCTTGAGCTGCCCCAATGGCACCACAAGCTTCTCCCTTGCCAGCCCCTCCTCTGGAGGCCCAGCGAGTGCCCTCCCTGATGGGCTCATCACCAGGCCCTCACAGCCCACTCAAAGAGGGGCCGCTCTCTCACAACTGTGGGAGGCTCCATGTCACCACTGAAGGGCCCCCAGCATGCAGCACCAGCTCAGAGCTAGCGGCCCCACCCATCCCGGGGCCCTTTCTGGGACTTACGTAAAAAGTGTTTTTCCAATAAGGCGATTTCCAGGTGCCCTTTGATTTCATTTAGTCGATCGAATTCCGTCCGGTTATAATCCTGGACTCCAGCAGCCATGATGAGAGTGCCCGGCCCGGCCTGGAGGAAAAACAGAAGTACAGTGCTTGAGGAGGGGGCCCTGCCAGGCTCCCCGTCCCAAGCCAGACCACTGAAGAGGACCAGCTCGGGTTACTGGCCTTCCAAAGCCCGCCAGGCTAGCACCTCCCTGCCGCCGGCCTGGGCTCCTTCCAACGGCTCTGCCACCCTCACACACTCCCAGAGCACCTGAGGGGGCTCTGCTACAGCCCAGTTGGGGCTCGAAGCCCCAGAGCCCAGGCCAGGGAAGGGAGGAACCAGCTGAAGCCAGCCTGCCAAGCCCTCCCATCCTGCCCATGGAGCCCAGGCCCACTCCTAGCTGCTGACAGGCAGGCAGAGCCAGAGGAGGGTGGAGGGGCTGGACTGGACCCAGAGGGCAGGCGAGCCCACCTTCTGGGCACCTCCGGCTTCAGGCAGATCACATGTGCCCCCCGGGGGAGCCGGGGGGGAGCCCCAAGGAGATAGACATCAGCCCGTGGGAGATCCTGGCACGGCTGGGGAGGAATGGGGCGCTCGATCCCAGGAGACTGAGTCCTGCAGATGCCACTTAAAAATATCTCCTGCTGTCAGGATAGGGGCAGGGCAGGCTGGTGTTTCCAGCACAAGCCATGATGAGAGCTGCCCCCCGAGGTGCCCGCCAGGTGGGGACTGCCCTACTTTCTGAGGCCGGGCAAAGGGAGAAGGTGCCTGTTAGCACATCCCAGGCATTTCTGCATGCTGTGAGTAAGTGAGAAGTCAGCCTATGACATGAGTGACAAGTCTGTTTGACCTGGAGAAATCCAGTCCAAGGCGCCTGTCCTGAGCATTCTGTGAGGCTACAGGATCCGGGGGGCCTTCCCAGAGAGGAAAGAGGGAGGCCCTGCCCTCACTGGGCTTACACTCTGGGGGGACAGTGGGGAACTAGAATACACATATAGGAGGAGACGGGGGCTTAGGGCCAGGGCCAGAGCTGGATGGAACCTTAGAGGGCCCTTCCCCCTTTCAAAGAGGAAGAAATTGAGGCCCAGGGAGGTGATTGTGACTTGTTCTTAACTAGGGGCCACAGACTCCCAGGGGGCCTCAGTCTCCATCCCTTCTATCTTAGATAATCGCTTAGATAATCACACCCTCCGTCACCAGCACTCATCACAGCGCCGGGCACACAGTAGGCACTTTCTCAGACCGCTCATACCCTCCGTCACCAGCGCTCATCACAGCGCCAGGCACACAGTAGGCACTTTCTCAGACCGCTCACACCCTCCGTCACCAGCACTCATCACAGCGCCTGGCACACAGTAGGCACTTTCTCAGGTCACACTCTTCACAACCAGCACTTATCACAGCGCCGGGCACACAGTAGGCACTTTCTCAGACTGCTCACACCCTCTGTCACCAGCACTCATCACAGCGCCGGGCACACAGTAGGCGCTTTCTCAGATCACTCACACGCTCCACCACCATCACTCAGTGCAGCGCCAGGCACATGCTATTCCTCTCATGTCCTCTCATCCTCCACACAGCAGCCAAACTGTGTGACCACGTCACTGCCACCCTGCCTCTAAAACCTTCAATGGCTCCCTACTGCCTCCAGGAGCAAATACCCGATCCTCAGCCTGGCATTTAGAGCCTGCCACAATCTGCCTCCACCCACCTGCCTTTCCAGTTTTATCCCCTTTCCCCACTTTCCATTCCAGGCTTACTGGCCTGGCACCTGTTTCTCATGCACGTTTCTCGCTCCCTCTCTCTCTGTCTCTGTCTGCCCCGACCCCCTTCTCTCTGCCCTTGGACAGATGGTGCTCCATTTAACCGGCATCTATCAGACGCCTGGTACACGCTGGCCATGAAGCTGGGTTCTGAGGATACCAAGGCCAAAACAAACAGAGCCTGCCCTCAAAGGGTTTACATTTGACCAAGGGGAAACACCAACAACTAAGTGTCCCAAGTACAAAGTCATTCCAAAGTACAAAACTGTATTAAGTACAAAGTCAGGTCGGTAGGAAGAGGCCCCGTGATGGGGAGAGAGAGCCGGCCTCTGATCACATGAAAGATCACGGAAAGCAGAGAAGGGCCGCGCGCCTGGAGAAAGGCAGATGTCTCTGTTTTCAAAAAAGCAAAGAGAGCGGAGCCCTCAAAGCGAAGGCCGGTGAGCCTGCTTTTGACTCCTGCGGAAACAGCTGGCAGGCACGGAAAAAGTCGAGCTGGCCTTCCCCAAGGCCAGCCTGGCTGCATCAAGCACAGGGCATGGCAGACGAAGCGCATCTTCTTTGTTGACAGGACTACCAAATTAAGCAGTGACGGGACTGAGGCAGATAGAGCTTCCCTAAATCTTAGCAAAGCTTTTGACAAAGCATTCCTACAAGTCTTGGGGAAGAGATGGCAAGAGCTAAATTAGATAAGAATTTGGTCAAATGGATTCAGAAGAGGCTGGCTAGCTGGACTCAGAACTGCTTTGTTAATGATTCAGTGTCACTGCGGCAGGAGGTCTCTGGGGGAGGGCCCCAGGGATCTGCACTTGGCCCTATGCTGTTTATCATTCTCATCAATGACTCAGATATGGGCACACTTGGTACGCTCATCAACTCTACAGATGACACAAAGCCCCTGGAGAGGCAGAAGTAAAAAGTGAGGACTCAAAAGGATCTTGACAGGCTTGAGCAGTATGCTGGATCTACAGAAGAAGAAATGTGAAGTTCACAAAAATCAACTTCCAGAAGGTGGGGGAGAGATAACTGGTGAGTGTTTTTTCTGATAAAGATCTGGGGGGCTGTACGGCCCACAAGCCCCATGACTCAGCAGTAGGATGTGACAGCCAGAAACACTAATTCCATCCCGGGATTCATTAACGGGGCAGAGCTTCCAGGAACTGAGAGCCGACGGTCGCACTGTTTGCCCTTGGCAGACCTCAGTCGGAGCACCACAGCCTGAGATGGTGAAGCACCTTGAACCTGGGTCTTAGGAGGCTGGGTTGTTCAGGCTGGAGGGACAACCCGCTGCCTGTCTTCAAGTATCTGGAGGGCTGTCCCACGAAGGAGGGGCTGGCCCTGTTCTCTTCGGCTGAAGTGGGAGGAGGAGGAGGAGACGTCACCAGGTCGGTCGTGTGGACATGATATCACCGCAGCAGCCGAACCACAAATCAAGCAAAGGAGCAGAGGTGCCCACTCCCGAGCAAAGTCCACGGCTGTGCCCAGAATGCCCTCTGTGCTCCATCCTGGGCCTCCCTCTCCTGAGTCCCCCAAGGGGTCAGCACTCCCTCCCTCTTGAAATGACTCCGTAGGTTTGTGCCTTGAGGCCCAGAGAAGGAGTTTTGCATGCCAGGAGCTCCTCACAGCAATGAATTATGGGTCTAGTCGCTTGGGACAGCTTTGTGCTTTCACAGCTACATCCGCGGTTTGTCTCCCGGGGAAGGAAAAGCAGGGTGACCTTGTGCACAAAGGCAGGGGAGCCTCCATGTCATGCGGTTTGGAGCAGGTGGGAGAAGAGGGCGCAGGGGACCGAAGGGGACAGGCACTTATCAACTGCCTCCCGTGTGCCAGGCACATGTTTACAAAACACCTTCCTTGCCAACTCTGTGGAAGTACTATTCCATCTTACAGATGAGGAAGCTGATGCTCTGAGTCACCAAGGGCCTCATCCACGACCGTTGCAGGACTTGAGGCAGAATTCAGAACCCAGTATTCTGCCCTCTCAGCCCAATATTCTTCCTGAGACCCTCCCTGGTTGGACCCCGGCATTAGAAAGCTCACTGTGGCAGGTGAGGGAAAGGCAGACGGGGCGGGGACTGTAGGTATTAGTGTGTGCGCACGCGTGCGCGCGTGTGTGTGCATGTGCACATGTGTTCATTTGTGTGCGTGTGTGTGTGTGCGTGCGTGTGTGTGTGTGTGTGTGTGTGGAGGGGGATCGCAATCAGGAAGCCACTGCAGTAACCCAGGAACAGGGATGGAGGCCTGCACCATGGGACTGGCCATGTCTGTGCAGGAGAGGCCCTAGAGGGCTCCACAGGCCTTGGCAACTGAATGTCAAAGGACACGACCGTGCCACTGGAGGGAAGTTTTCAAGGTCAGGGGCTGGAAGGCTGGTGGTACCAGGGAAACCGGGAGGTGGGCTGGGTTTGCTGGGGAAGGTGATGAGTTCAGTCTTGGCCATGGTGACTTTGAGGCTCAGCAAGACAGCCAGATGGCGATGTCTAGCAGGCGGGACAGGAGCTGGGACATAGATGAAGTTGGGAATCATCCGCAGAGAAGTGGAAACTGGAACCACAGAGATACTTTGGGGAGAGGGAGGAGGAGGAGGAGCGAGCCTTGGGAGATGGCCACATGTGGGAGCAGAAGTAGCAGCACCAAGAAAGAGCCATCCCACACACGAAAGGCACCGAGAAGCAAGACGGCGTGTGGACCAGAGCAGGAGACAGCCATGGGGCCTGGCTGGCAAAGGCTGGCTCTGCCCTCCCCAGGATGGCCCCCACCTCGGCCTGGAATGTATCCTTCTCTCCCGACCCTTCCCGTCTCCCCTTGGACCTCGGCTCCCCCCCCAGCCAGAGGCCTGGCGTCTCTCCTCCTGTTCAAGCTGAGCCCCAGAAGGAAGACATCCCAGCCTAGCTTTCCAGACTCACTTGGGCATTCTGTAATCCAGTCAAACTGGACTTCTCTCTGTTCCTCTCCCACCTCCATACTTTTGCCCTGGTCATCTCCTCATGTCTAGAATGCATTGCCTCCTTCCCTCTGCCTCATAGATTCCCTTTCCTTCAAGACTCCATAAGGCACCATCTGCATAAAGCCTTTCCTGCCCACCCCCGTCCCTCCGCAATACACGCACATACACACACTCACATAATACACACACACACACACACACACCCTCCCGGAAGCCCTGGGTCTATGGGCCTTGTCAGGGGCCAGAAGCAGCCCTGCTCCTCCCCCCAGCCCCAAAGCCATCCCAGCCTTTCCTGCTCTCTCCCCCTCAGATTGATGGCATTGGTGGACAAGGGCCAACAAGCTGAGAAGATGTCTAGCTTTTACTAAAAATCCCAAGTAAATTATTAATTACAGCCCAAAGCAGAAGTGCAGACACTGTCCTATTATAAAAGATTAATATTTTTAAAAAAAAAGGCTCCCGGAAAATTACCAGTGCCTGCCTGGCGGAGCCTGCTCGGAGCACACCTGCCTCGAGAAGTGACGAGCTGAAGCCCGGGTGGGGCAGCCCAGCCTACCATCCTCACAGCAGACTTTGCCCGCCCTCCCGCCTTAAAGAGAGCAGTCTACATTTGGCCTCGTGCCCACACTAACTTCATCCAAAGGCATGTGGGCCTCAGCCCGGCCCACCAAGAGGCCTGGCCAGTGACCATGACACAGAGCATCGCTTGTGGGCCCGCTAGGAATCCAGGCCAGCCTCGGGCCTTCTCAGAGCGGGGCTGGGGGAGAAGGAACCAAGCCCAAAGGGAGATGGTGAAGGAGCTCCCTCGGGGTCCACGGCACTCAGCTGGGGGCAGAGAATTCGAGTATCCGTCCCTGGCACGGGACCATCCCTCAGCCTCAGCCCCTCGCACCAATGTGCTCCTGGTAAACAGAGGGCAGACATACCCTGCCTCTCTTGGTAACGATGTGGCATGGAACGAGGAACACCGTCAGACATAGCTGATATGTTGACTTCACGGTGACTTATTGCCTGTGAAGGAAGGTTCCAGCTAGGGGTGCCTGGTGAAAGTCAGGCTGGAAAGGTGGCCTGGGGCCTTGTTTTCCTATCTGTAAAAAGGGCTAGTGGCCTTTCCCCCTGCCTACTGAAGAGGAAGACGCTTTAGGGAATAGAGCAGAGGGAAGAGGCTGTTTGTGGTATCAGGTGACTTACAATACCCCCTGTGGAGCTGGGCTGGGCTCGGCAGGGCTGCTGCGCCGTTGGGCCCATCTCCAGATGAAGGACACACAAGAGAAGAGGAACGGTGGAGCCTGGTTGGGTGTCACTGGGAAGCTAGAGCTCTGACCTTCTCTGTCTATGGTGCTGCAGCTGGTGGAGCCCAGCCCAGGAGCACAAGATCACAGGGAAGGGGCCTCACTTAGCAAAGGCCCGGCTCGGTCCCTCGTTTGACAAGGCAGAGCCTGCTGGCCACCCGACTGGGCGCTGCCCAAGGACGCAGAGTATGTGAGCCCAGAGCTGGGCCTGCCTTCCTGCCACAGCTGGCCCGTCATGTGCAGACAGAGTGAGACTCCCTGAGGAAGAAATCCTTCCTCCCCTGGCACTGCAGTGGGTGGGGGCCACAGCTCCCTGTACCTGCTCAGCTCTGGTGTAGCATTCTGGCTCTCTCACAGGCTCAGGGTCAGAAAGGTGCTTTGTAAATGCAGAAGCTCTCTAGAAACACGAGCTATTGTGACTTGTTCCTCTGGGGCTGTCCTAGGTCTGACCCCTTTGGTGACGAGGCCTATTCTGGAACAAGGCTCTGATGGCTCTCCCAGCTCTGACAATGCCACTATTAGCCCAGGCAAGTCTCAACCTCTCTGGGCCTCAGTTTCCCCAACAGCTAAGTGGGGTAAGAGCCACTCTCTCTGTCTCTGGAAAGCACTTTGAAAGGTGATCCGAATTGTCCTAGCATTCTTCCAAAGCAGCTCTTGACTGGGGGGGTCCATAAACTTTTTAAAAAATATTTTGAAAAAGATATTTTCATATAATTGGTTTTCTTTGTAATTTTATTTATTCTGATTTATTGCATTTAAAACCATTACTCTGAGAAGAGGTCCACAGGCTTGACCAGACTGCCCAGGAAGCGAGGCCTTGGCCCATGAAGGGGTAAGAGCCACAGTTTTACAACATTCACAAACACTAAGCCACGTTAAAAGAACCCACTAAAAAAGGAAGAGCCAAAAGTTAATTGTCACTTGGAAGGAAAGGCTACAGATGAGTACATGAGAAGTGGTTTGGATGAACCACCTCATCCTCATCAAACTGGCAAAAAATGTCAAAAAGCACCAAAGTCCACAGCTGGCGGGGATGAAGAGCACACTCATCACTGCTGGTGGAATCACTCCCTTTGAGTGTTTCTAGAGAGCAGCATGGCAGGACACAGGAAAAGTTCCCAAACGGACCACAGCCTTTGTTCCGTGGTTAGGAAAATGCCCTGAAAGCATTGTCCTACACACACAGGAAGAATTCCCTGGCCAAAGATGTTCTGAGCAGCGCTATGTGCAGTCAGAGAGAATCGGGAGCATCCTTAATGCCCATCCCCTGGGAAAGGCCTAACCAGGCTGGATTCCAGACCGACAAGGATGAGGAATACCAGGAAACCTGGACAGACCCTTCTGAGATAATGCAAAGGAAAATCCTGGGGACCAAAAGAATGATGTGCAACTACCTGTGAGGGCCTAGATGGAGAAGTGACAGAGCCTGAGCAAAGCGGACTCTCACGGGGGCCCCGAGAAAGGGGCTAGAACGCTGCACTGCTCAGTGACAAAGGGGGGAAACGGGCACAGAGCCGCCCTCACATGCAGCAATGCTGCTCCTGCCCTTTCAAGTTACAAGAAACCCTCCCGGGCAACTCACAGGGTCTCGTAACTCCTCGCCGTCCCGGGCCGCCGTCCGAGGGACCTTCACGGGGAGCTCATCGCCACACTCTGTGTCGGATGCGTTGGGAGACTCAGCTAAATCGAGGAACTCATCTCTCTTGTGACCTCTGAACCTGATTTTGTCGAACCTTCTGAGCATGTTCAGCACAGAACTTCGAGGCTTCACCTTAACATGACGGTCGGAGTCCCTGGGAGAGAAGGAAGGGGGAAAGACAGAGGTCACTACCACCATCCCAGCCTGACAGCGGCATCTGTCTCGACAAGGACGACCATTCATCTCCCGTGTAAATGTAAAAACTACCACGTGGTTAAAACAGGACGACAACAGACCGCACGCAACCAACTGCAGGCCGATAAGCCCAGCTCCGGGAGAGCTGAGGCTGATGCTACAATCCGTCAGCATTTATCAAGCCCCTACTGTGTGCCAGGCACTGTGCCAAGCGCCAGACTGAGCTGCAGTAGGGTCGGCCTGATCAGGAGTCCACACTAAGTTATGAACCAAAATGGCAGCTTCCAAGAGCAGGGGGCTCCAGAATGCCTGAGGAGGGGCAAACCAGCCACAACTTCTATGCCAGCCAGTGGTGGGATCGGGTCCAGGAGTGGCCCCCACACTTCCAACCCAGGCAAGAGAGGAAGACCCAACTTCCAAAAACCCAAACCAACTGTCTTAGTAAGGAATGGGCAGCAAGGCTAGACAGGAGCACGCACGGAAAACGATCTGGAGGTTACAGTGGGGACAAGACTCAGAGTAATACCAGAGTCAAATTCATTAACGAGATCTTAGGTTGCCTTAGGAGAAAGAGATGATACGCCCATATTTGGAACGGACCATCCGATCCAATGACCGTATTTTGTAATCAAGGAAACTGAGGCCCAGGGCACTGGAGGTCACATGAGCCTCAGGGGCAGGAATCTGAGCCACTACTCTGTCCACGTCTAGGGAGGTGACTGTCCCTCTGTCCTCTGCCCTTCTCAGACCACATGGAGAGTCTCATGCTCAATTCCAGAAACCACGTGCTGGGAGTACACACGTGTCAGAAGATGTGGCCCGAGACGTAGAGAAGATTGGAGATGGCATCACACAGGGATCAACAGAAGGAGCTGGTATTGGCCAGCATTCTAAGGGCCATCATGGGACAAAGGGGTGAGCCCTGAAGCTCAGAATGAAAAGCAGCAGGGGAGGGAGTTACAGAAAAGGCCGCCCAGCTCAAGGTAACTCCAAAGTCCTCCCAGAGAGGCATGGGCCTTTTCGGGAGGAAGTGAGCACCCCCTCCTTGGAGGCCCGGGGAGTGGCCCAGACAACCGCCAAGGTCCCTCCATGCTGCCTGAAAGCACCATCTAGCTTTATACCCACCTACCCAAGTCCTCCCTTGCCCGTGCCTATGGCACCTCGTGCTGCTGACTGGTCAGAGAGCAGACGCCAACATGGTCACCAGCCTTGGGGGCAGGATCTGAAGCCTGAAGACTGGGAAAGGGGGGTCACTTGGGGGTTTCCTCACCTGCCAAAGAGGTGTGCTAATTAACACTGCTGTGCCGCCTCTGAACGCTGCCCAACAGGGGCCAAAGATGACCCTCTGGCCACCTCTTGGGCTAGCCTCTCCCAGGGTGGAGAAGGGTTTTTACGGGAATTCTTTCACCTGTGCTGGGCTACCCAAGGGCAGGTGGGTTTGGAGTCAGGAGCCCCACCTCTCACCTCTCCAGCTAAGTGACCTCGGGAGAGTCCTTCGCCTTCTCCTTGAGCCTTAGTTTCCTCTTCTACAGACCCCCAAGCCACCATGGAAACATTTCCAATGCCGGCCTCCCAGGGTCATTCATCACACCCTCTGCCCGCAGGGTTGGCGGGGCCCTGCCCAGCTTCCTCTGTGGTCTGGGGACTTCCTCCCCCTCTCCCTGCTGCTGCTCCAGTGACCAGGCATCTCAAAGGAAAGCTGGCGTCACACCCATAGCATCCGCCCGACAGATTGCTGTCCGTGGGCTGCTGAGGGCTAGGAAGGATGGATGGCATAATGGAACCCGAGGAGGCAGCCAGCCTCCCACCCCATGGGGCTTCGGCTGGGGGTGGGAGATGAGGGAGTGGGGCAGGGAGAGTTTAACCTTTATCTCCATGTCCCCAGGCCCTAGCACACAGTAGGACTGACACACAGTAGGTGCTGCGCTGTGATCACAGTCTTCCAGCATCTGCAGAGGAGTCGTCTTAGGGGAGGGGGATTCACTTTGCTCCACTAGCTACTAATGCACCTAAAAGTGCAAGGGGCAGGGGCGAATGGGCTGCCTTGGGAGGTAGTGAGCTGCCAGTCCCTAGATCTATTCAAGCAGAGGTGACATGACCAATTGTGTGAGATGCTGGAGGAGGGACTCCTGCTGATATATAGGGTAGCCTAGAGAGGCAGTGGATAAAGCACCCACCCTAGAGTCAGCAGGCCCAGCCTCAGACACTTACTAGCTGGGTGACCCTGGGCAAGTCACTTTACCTCAGCTGCCTCCAAAAAGGGGGGAGGGGGAAGCTGAGCTGGGAAGAGGGAGACCTGGGCTCCCACCCTGCCCCCATTACTTCCTGCCCTTTCAAGCCAAGCTGCTTGAGCTGGGGTGGGGGCCCTCTGTTTCCCCCCACCATGATCCCTATGCCTTCCCGCTCCTTCCGACTTTGCCGACTTTGCGAGTGAGTCCCTGCACTCCAGTGATGCACAGATAAGCTTCTGTGATGATCATTATCCGGGTCGTCAGGAAGGAATGGCCTGGAAGTCCCAGCCCTGGGCTCCCATCTATCCCTGGCCTGGCCACAAGCCGGCTGCAGGGACAGGCCTTCAGCTCAGCCTCAGCAGTTCCTTTGGGCGCCCCCCGCCTCAAACAACTTCCTCCCCAGCTCTGCTTCCCCCCGCCACCCGTGCCCCCCATCTCACAGCTGGCCCAGGGCAGCGCTGCACACAGGACTCACTGTATACCACTGGTGCTTAAGCAGTGTTTGCTGGGTTCACTGACCTGCTCTGTAAACTGATGGGAAAGCATTTGGAAAACACACCTGGAGACAGTAGAGGGAGGGGGTGGCCGGAGACCTGGGCTTGAGGATGAGATGAGGACCCCAGTCATATCCTGCAGCACCCCCCCATCTCCACAACCATTTCTGCAATGCTGCAGTCTGCAAGGGGCTCTTCACACCCTCTCTCCTCTGACCCCCGTGAAGGACCGTACCTAATTTACAGATGGGGACATTGGAGGCTCTGAGAGAGGCCCTAGGGCCTGATGGAGTGAAGAAGCCCAGCTGGTCATCTCCTCTGGCCAGCTACCCTTCGAGGCCTGGGGGTCTGTAAACGTTGGTAAATTGTTTAAGTTGACACTTAAGCCCGTCTCCACCGGGCTCCAGCCGCCATTCCAGGCTGACGACACATGACTGCTCTGTGCCTGAGCCACGGTGGCCCCCTCCACGCCTCCAGCCTGGGAATCCATCCCTGCTTGCCTCGCTTCCTTTGAGTCTTGACTCCATGATCACCTCCTCCGAGAATCCCTTCCCATCAATCACCAGGTGTTCGCTTTGTCTAGGGCGGCCACGCCCAGAGCATCCCAAAATCACATTGTATTTATTCTGCTTTTCGCTAAGCCGAGCTCCCTCAGTAGATTGTCAGCTGGCGGGGAGGGGCAGAGAGAGTTTACCTTTTATCTTCTCATTCCCAGGACCTGACACAGAGACAGGCAAACAGTAGGTGCTTAATAACTGCGTGCTGGGTGAAGTTTTAAAACAGGACGGACTGACTTTCAGGCTTTCCCCACAAGTTCTTCTTTGTCTCTGATTGGGTTTTTTTGTTTCAATGAATTTTAAAAATCATTTTACTACCTGCCCTCTTTCTCTGCACCCCCTCACCTGAGAGGGGGTGGGGAAGGGCCCTGGAGGGGGCAGCCCTCTCAGGTCAGGCCAGGTGCCTGGCATCGAGCCTCAATGCACAGAGCTGGGCGCATCCCACCACCACGTGCCAGCCTTGCCAACGCCTGGCACAGCCCTGAGCCTTCTCTTCACACTGAACATGCCCACTTCTTCCCACTGATTCTCAGATGACATGGATGCCAGGCTCTTCCCCACCCTGCCTGTCCGGGCTTCTGCCTCAGGCTGGCCCAGAACCTCTGCTGGCATCCCACCTGCTCCCCTCAGGGCTGAGTACAGCTGCCTCCAGGGGCAGGCCTTCCTGGCCCCCCGGCCTCAAGTGGCAGCTCCTCCCAAAATAACGAAGCATTTCTCTACCTGGCTCTGTGTTGTTCCCCTCCTCCCCTGAAATCTCACCTGTGTCTGCAGCCTGGTACTGAGCAGGTGCCTAACTCTGAGATCTGTGACTGGTCCAGGGTCTCACAGTGACCGTGGCAGAGGCAGCGTCTGAGTCCCCGGCTTCTGGCTCTTCGGCCAGCCCTCTCTCCCCCACCCCCCGCGGCCCACAGACAGATCTGTGTGCCCTTGGCCAGGTGACCACCTTCAGAGCCCCAGCTTTCTCCTCTGAAAAACGTACACTCCTCCCCTGCCACTGCCGCCTGCAAACATCAGAGCCCGGCAGAGTGAGAGCAGCTGTACTCATGCCTGTTAGTGACATGCTGTGGAGACAGAGCCCACGGCAGGGTGCGGGCTATTCAGGGGAGACTGAGACCGGACAAGAAAGTGCAGAGAGAGAGAGAGAGAGAGAGAGAGAGAGAGAGAGAGAGAGAGTGTGTGTGTGTGTGTGTGTGTGTGTGTGTGAGAGAGACAGAGAGACAGAGAGACAGACAAGCAGGCAGAGAGAGAGAGAGACAGAGGCATACAGAGATAGAAAGAGAGGAAAAGGGAGAGGACAGAGAGGGAGAGAGACAGCGAGGAAAGAGGAGAGGGAGAGACAGAGAGATGGAAGGGGAGACAGTGGAGGTGAGAAGAGAAGGAGGGGCAGGAAGGAAGGGGGAAGGGAGGGGAAGGGGAAGGGGGAGGGGGAGGGGGAAGGGGAGGAAGGGAGGGGGAGGAGGGAAGGGGGAGGGGGAGGGGAGGGAGGGGGAGGAGAGGGAGGGGGAGGAGAGGGAGGGGAGGAGGTAAACAGCCACCTGGGGCTGACAAAGCCACTCCCTGCCTGCCACCAATCTGGCTGGGGCAGTTGGGCCATTCAAGGATCTACAAGCCAACTCCTGCTTCCCTCCTAAGCTACAGAGGCCACGTCCCCTCCCCCATCCTGAAGCCCTCTTTCTCTCTCTTCCTCATCCTCTTTTTCTCTTCCTTCTCTGTGCCAGGATTAACCAATGTCCAGTCTCCCTTCCCTCTGACCACTTTCTCCTTGGAGATTTCCAAGCCAGGAGGCCGGCCTGGCAGCCCGGCACTGGCCTTGGGGTCAGGAGGCCTGCATTCACATCCCACCCAGAGAGCTCGGGGTGGGTCAGTTCCGCTCTCTAAGGCTCAGTTTCCCTCCCAATACAGGATTGATCACAACGGCCTCAAAGGTGCTTCTGGCTCTCCATCTTGGCCCCTCAAGGCTCTTCCCAGCCCCTCAGCCATCCCTCTGACTTTGCTCAGCCTAACCCAAGCCTCTGAAGGCCAGCTGCAGAAAGCCTGCACACGGGCCTGCCCTGACCCTCTTCCCCACCCTCCTTGACCACAGCAGGACAACTATGGAGACCAGAGGGTCTGCCGAGAAAGGGCTCTGGGCTCAGGCTCTCCCTGGGCCAACCCCCTTTCCTGGCCATCAGAGCCCTGAAGTTTTGCCAGCAAAGCCCCAGTGTGGCTCCCAAAATACAGACAAGCAGGGTATTCTAGGGCTCGAGGACCCTGGGGGCACAAGGTTCTAGATCTCCAGCTGGAAGGGGCATCCCCACCCCCCTTTACAGGTGAGCAAATCAAAGCCCAGAGGGGTGGTGACCTGCCCAGGGTCACAGGGACCGAAGTCTTCCAGATCCCAGACTCAACAGGGTGAGGGGGCTGCAGACTGAGGATCTGCGCTCCCCATGGCACCCTCTGAGGGAGGCGGGAGGCTTCTTACAACTCCCATTTTACAGGCAGGGAAACTGAGGCTCAGAGAGAAGTAGAGACTCTGGACCCAAGCTCCTTCCCTGGCACGAGGCAGTCCCATGACCTCATCTCTCAGGGCCTCAGTTTCTTCATTTGTAAAGCAGGGGCTGGGCTCAATAACCTCTGGATCCTTCCCAGCTTGGCATGGCTGACCCTTCCCCTGGGGTTTTTCCATGACACAACTTGATGGGATGGGGTCGAGAGACACCCAGGCCAACCCCCTCTCCTTAACTTCCTCCCCTGGATCGAGCTAGGACTGGGGCAGTCTTGGGGAATCACCAGTCCCCATGATGAGCCCCTAGGTGGTGCGGCGGGGCAGTGTGGGAGAGGGCAGGAAGCAACATTTGAGGCCCCTGGAGGAAGGCCCAGCTCTCTCCTCACCCTCATGGGGATGGCAGCCTTCCTAGATTCTAGATTCCTGGATTCTAGAAAGCTAAGGAGTCCAGATGCTGAGTGGGTGAGAACAGAGACCCCGGGGAAGCCACTGGCCTGGCTCGCAAGCTCACTTGCTCTGGCATTCCACGGCCGGGCAGCCAATGCTCTGCAGCCAGGAAAGAGTGGCCTGCCCTCGGTATCCCCACAGGGCTCCACGGGGCACCAGATGGGCCCCCTGGAAGGAAAGCCCGGCCAGAAGACAGGGAAGGAGGCTTCCGCTCTGAAACCACAGCAGTGGGCGAGCGGAGGTGGAGGTGGCAGCGGCTTCCTGCCAGCCTGGCCCACCCCCAGCCCCACCCTCAACAACTACTCAAAACAAGAGAGAAAACGTTCAATGTCGGCTAGGGCTTCTCATTCGCTAGTCATCGCCACCGTCACCAAGCATTTATGAAATGCAGACAATTGGCTTCACAGCATGGGCCTCTATTTCCTCTTCTGAAAACCTCTAAGGTCTGGCCCTCCCAGCTCAAGGCCTGGGCTCTGACCATCTTAGGAGCAGCCCTAAGGCCATGCAGTTGGCTGCAGGTAGAAATGGCTGTACTTCCGGGAAGGATTCTGGGAAGCCGGTCTGAGGGAGGTCTTGGCGTGGGGGGCTCATCACCAAAGCCCCCGTTCCGCGGGCTCTGCCCTGCCCTGCTCACAGGTCCCCCATGGATCCAGGGAGGGGGCGAGCTGCCTCACAGCAGGCCTTCTTGTGGTGGCGGGCCCATCATCCGACCACGGTCCTTCCCTGCCTTGCCCAGTGCCCTCATCCCACCAAGCTGACAGCAATGAGCTCACGAAACAGTCATGGCTCATCAAAGCTGCAGCATCTGCTCCATGAGGCGGGGCCTCTGTTCCCACCCTCTCATAAATGATGGAGGGTGACAGGGACCAGTGCAGAGGACCCCCAGCTGGAGCCAAGGGTGTGGGACTGGCAACAGAGGGCCCTTGTGCTCACCCCTCGCTGTATGCCGTGGGAACTGAGATCCTGGAATCACAGGCTTTGGAGCGGGTGGGGGGCTTCGAGTGTCCCCCAAACTAGACTTCCTGTTTTATGGGAAGGACTAAGGGGGGGAGCTTTGGCCCAGAAAGAATTCCAAGAGCACGCAGGGACCTTAGACGTCCCTTGAGTCTACCTTCCCCCTTCTTTCCTCTGGGGAAACTGAGGCCCAGAGAGATTCGTAAGACTTAGGAGCAGGCCAGGACCATGGGGGACAGTGAATCTCTCATTTTACACATAACCTAAGGCCCAGAGAGGCTCAGGGGATCCCAGGATTTAGAGCAGGTAGGGACCTTTGAGTCTACCCACTCATCTTATATAAAAAGGGGCAGCTGGGTGGTGCAGTAGACGGAACATTGGACCTGAAGTTAGGAAGACCTGAGTTCAAATCTGGCCTTGGACGCTTATTAGCTGTGTGATCCTGGGCAAGGCACAACCTGTGTTTGCCTCATTTTCCCCATCTGTCAAATGGGGATAATAATAGGACCTATCTCCCAGTGCTACTGTGAGGAGCAATGAAATAGTGAGGGCAAGGTGCCAGGCACATGCTTAGTAAAGCACTATGTTCTAGGAAGGCCCAGAACGGCTCAGCCAGAAACAGAATCCTGGAACTGCCTCCAGCACCCCAGATGGAACCCCTCTTCCTGGGTCAGGAGCTGACACAGCTGCCAGCATGAGAACTGTCAAGTCTGTGTCACTGCCTGCTTGAGAAGCTCTGATGGCTCCCTGCTACCTCTGGGACCCGACTATTAACTCCTCGGGTTGGCATTCAAAGCCCTCCCCAATGCAGCTCTGCACGCACAGGGCCCCTCACTGCCCTCCCAGCACTCCACAGTCCCTCCAGACCAGCCCAACCCTCAGCCCCTCTCTTTCCCCAGGCTTCTGAGTGCTCTCACTTCTCACCTCCCTGGCTCCCCAAGAAACCAGGCTCCAGTACCTCATGTGACAGCTGACCTTTCCCATCTGCCCCCCAAAAGTTAAGGCCCACCCCCCAAAACCGCCTAGTGCACATGCTTCCCACCCTAACCCCAACCCCAAGGTTTCTGCCCAGCTCCAAGAGGCCTCTGAGAGGGACACTCCCCCCGTCTGCCTCTGAAGTCAGTACCTAGCTCAGCACCCCTCCTCGGGCCTCAGTTTCCACCCCAACAAGATGCGAGGTCCAACTTAGTGGTCTCTAAGGCCCCTTCACAGCACTGACATTCAGTAGAAGAAGACCTCTGTGGAGGCTCACAGGATGCCGGAGCTGGGAGACCCCTCAGAGCCTGAGTCCAACCCAGGAGTTTCAATGACTCGTCCAAAGTCACACTTGGCAGTAAGCATCAGTGACAGGCCTGGAACCCACGGCCTGTGACCCCAGAGCATGCTGCCTCCCTGTCCTAGCATCGAAATATTCCAAACAGCTTCCCCTCTGGGCTTGGGAGAATTTGGGCTCAGCCTGAGCTAAGGCCTGGAAGCCCCAGATGCCGCCCCTGGCAGGCTGAACATCTGGGGTGGGACAAGCCAAAGGAGGGGATGTGGGAGAGTGTCTGGAGGACAAGGAACAAAAGGAGGGGAGCTTGCAGGGTCCAGAGACACCAGACTGTGACAGGCTCGCAAGCCAGGTCCACTCTCCCCCAACTCTGGGCCTCGGGCTCCTCATCTGGAAAAGGAGGAAGCTGCATGAGCCAGTCTCAAAGACCGTCCAGTTCGGCCAGGCTGTGAGCCGAGAGGTTCTGTTCCCTTGTTTCAAGCCGAGGACTCAGCTTTGACCCCAGCTGGGCACCCAAGGGACCCTGCACCCCCGGGGCTACAGCCCAGTTTACTAAGAAACCCTCTTAATGACCTTTCTGTAGCAATCCAAAGCTGGGGATAGCCAATAGCTTCTCAACCAATATTTTCAGATTCCAATGCAGAGCAGTGTTGGGTGTCGGCT